TATGTTCCATGATCACCATCTCTATGCGCAACCATACCTTATAACCATAAGTGATCTAGGGATTTTATCTTAAGTGCAATTATAAGATAAATGCTTTCTCTTAAGATAAAGAAATGCCTTATTCATAATATAATTCCAATAGACTGTATTTACAAGTAGAATACGTCCAATTAGATTGGAACGCCGGGTACCCTACTCTAACAGTGTGCAGATCAGATGAAGTTGTACCATGTATATGGAAGTCCCGGGTGAGTGTTAAGAAACGGGATCACGACATGTGGGAGGTAACCGAATGGACCGATAGCCACACTTGCATGCAGGTGTTCGAGAGAAATGACCACAAGAATGTGACCGCCACCATGATCTCAAATCTTCTGTTGGCTAAGATTCAGAAGCAGGTGACCTACAGTGTGGAAATGGTCCAGGCCGACGTAAAAAGCGCCTGGAGCGTCGATGTCAGCTACAAAAAGGCGTGGCACGAGAGAAAAAAAGCCATCGATCGTCTGTATGGCACGTGGGAATCGAACTTCGCACAACTCCCCCAGTAAGCAAAAATTAATTATAAATGTATTTACGTGTTGTTTGTAACTATATTTATTTATTTATTTATGGTTACCTTTTATAATTTGCAGGTTTTTCGCCGCCCTTCAAAGGGCGAATCCCGGTACAGTCGTTGAGTGGGAATGGCAGGGTGGGGAAATGGCGAAGCAATCTCGAGACAGAGAATTCAGATTTGTCTTCTGGGCGTTCGGCCCCGCCATTCAAACCTTCCTTCTTTTCCCGCCGATTATTAGCATCGACGGCACACACCTGCGAGGTTCGTACAAGGGGAAGCTACTTGTTAATTACAAATTAATTTTTTTATTTTCTAATTTACAATAGTGTCTGATAAAAAAACATATGTCCAACTGAGCAGGTTCGTACAAGGGAAGCTACTTGTTGCCATAGCACAGACCGTGAATAAGCGTCTATTGCCAGTCGCGTATGCGATTGTGGACGAAGAAAGCACGGCTAGCTGGTCCTTTTTCCTAACACATCTGCGCCATCATGTCGTCCTCGACAGACCGATATGTCTTCTTTCTGACAGGGACAATGGCATATTAAGTGCTGTTGATTTACTGGAGGCTTGGCACGAACCCTATGCATTTCATCGGATATGCCTTCGACACCTCCGGAGCAACGTGTTTTCAAGGTACCAGACTAAGAAAATCCGGGGTTTGTGCTGGAGGTTGGGTTCACTGTGTTCTCGCCGCAAATTTGAGTAGAGTCGACAGGAACTCCATGAATGTAACCCGGAAGCATACAATTATCTTTTCCAAGTTTCTTTGGAAAAGTGGACCCTGTACGGAGATAGAGGACGTCGATGGGGCACTCTGACAACCAATATGTCAAAGAGTTACAACAACGTCCTCAAAGGTGTTAGGTTCCTGCCCTGCAGAGCGTTGGTACATGCCACAATGAACAAGACTCTGAATTTGTTTTAACAGGAACAAAACAAGTCCAGAGGATGCAGGAGTCACATTCCTACCAACCTCTATGCCGACTATCTGGTGGTGGATAGGACAGTGGCGATTCACGAGGTGCGATGTGTGGACGCCGACGGATCCCAGTACAAGGTGACAACCGGTCTACGCGCCAGTGGAAGAGGGCAAAACAAGTATGTATTTTTGAATTGAATTTTTTTTTCCATTCAAATGATTTATTTTTTTATTTATATATATAAATCATTGTGGAAAACAGGTTTACGGTTTATTATCAGCAGCATCGTTGTACATGTAAGAAGTGGCAGACATTTCGGAAACCATGCTCTCATGCATTGGCCGTGTGTCGTCACTGGGGTGATCAACTGCACTTGTTGTACGATTCCCACTTTTGGATGGAGAACTGGGTTGCTCAATTTTCTAATTGGAATTTTGCTCCTATTGAAAATCCTGACACGTGGCCGCAGGTGGGATGGAACTTGATTCCGCATTGGGAAAGGATCATTCGAAGCCTGGACCCGGCCGCGCCCAAACGAGACGATTTAAAATGCAAATGGATCGTCGAGCGCGCCGCAGAAGAGTCCGGGATCAATGCAGTAGATGTGGTGATTCCGAACATTTCGCGGACCGTTGCCCGTATTCGCATCCTCCCACCGATCGAACTAGACTCCGTGATGATTGGGGGAACTAGATTTTTTTATATGTATTTTGACTGAATCATATTGTTGAGATAAATATTTTGTATTTGGATGATTTATATAATGTATTTGGATGATTTTGAAATTGAACTCGAATTAGTACTATTGAAGTCAAATTAGTACAATCTCGGTCAATTATAGTGAAATCGAACTCGAATTAGTACAATTGAAGTCAAATTAGTACAATCTCGGTCAATTATAGTGAAATCGAACTCGAATTAGTACAATTGAAGTCAAATTAGTACAATCTCGGTCAATTATAGTGAAATCGAACTCGAATTAGTACAATTGAAGTCAAATTAGTACAATTGAAGTCAATTATAGTGAAATCGAACTCGAATTAGTACAATTGAAGTCAACTTAGTACAATCTCGGTCAATTATAGTGAAATCGAATTTGAATTAGTACAATTGAAGTCAAATTAGTACAATTGAAGTCAATTATAGTGAAATCGAACTCGAATTAGTACCATTGAACTCGAATTAGTACAATTGAAGTCAATTATAGTGAAATCGAACTCGAATTAGTACAATTAACATTTAACATATAGTGTATATAACATATAGTATATAACATATAGTAAATATATTATAACATATAATTTATAACATAGTATATAAAATAACATATAGTATATTAATATATATTTTGGAAACACGGATTCTCAGAATCCGTGTATACTTTTCAACGCATAACACGAATTCTGAGAATCCGTGTTTCGGTTAATATATAAAAAAAAAATCGGCCGACGAGGAGAAACCCTTATTCCGAAAATCCGCCGCTGCTCTCGACCTCCCGCCGTCGCCTGTCCTCCGCCGCTCCCGCTCCTCTCCTCCTCCGCCGCCCACCGCCGCTGCTGTTCTCCTCTGCCGACCACTGCCGCTGCTGTCGTCCGCGCGAGCCTACGACGTAATCCCGAGCCCGTCAACTCTCGTCTTCCGTGCCATCGTTTTTCGATTGTATTCCTGAGAACGGTACAAAGCTCGATCCCCCATCACGTTAGCTTTTATGAATCATTTTTCGATTCAATATGTATTTGCAATTGGATATCAAAGTGATTGCCGTCACTTTGAATTATTGTCGAACTGCATTTAACGTGGTATATTATGCTCGAATATTATCTTCGATTTGAAATTAGAATATTATGCTCGATTGTGAATATTGGTGGATATTATTCTCGAATATTATCTTCCATTTGAAAGTAGAATATTATGCTCGATTGTGAATATTGGTGGATATTATTCTCGAATATTATCTTCGATTTGAAATTAGAATATTACTCTCGATTGTGAATATTGGTGGATATTATGCTCGAATATTATCTTCGATTTGAAAGTAGAATATTATGCTTGATTGTGAATATTGGTGGATATTATGCTCGAATATTATCTTCGATTTGAAATTAGAATATTACTCTCGATTGTGAATACTGGTAGATATTTGAAATTAGGAATATTATGCCTGAAATCCTCTCGATCGAAGAATAGGTGGAAACAGCTAGGCTGTACTCAACAAACCAATATGCAACACAAGCATAATTCAGATATTTATGTGGACATTTTCTTTTTTCATGGACATTTTCTTTTCTCTTTTATTTTTTGTACTGGATTTTCAGATATTTATTCTTGATGGTTTTGTATACATATTTTGTGGTTCACTTTTTTTTATCGGTAAGTGTGGTTGACTTTTTTTTATATAGTGGTTTGTGTATGTATGTATGAATGGTAGATTTATAATTTGACGAATGAATTGATATTAAAGTGATATTATTTCATGTTCAAAATGTTAAATCAATATTTATAAAAAACCTTTATATTGAAGGATAAGAATAAAAATTCAGCTAAAATAAACGCGATTGCTGGTAAACAAGTTCGTGAGCATCAAAGAGTCGAGCTTAACAAAAAAAAAATTAAATAAATAAATACAAAAAACACGGATTCTTAAAATCCGTGTTTATAAAAAATAAATAAATAAATATATAAACACGGATTTTCAGAATCCGTGTTATCATTGAACACGGATTATGGGAATCCGTGTTACCTAACACGGATTTTTAAAACACGTTTTTACATGGATTAATTAAGGGTTATCACGTCATTAAGCAAACACGGATTCTCATAATCCGTGTTTTGGTCAAAATAAGTCAACGCGGATTCTGAAAATCCGTGTTTCAGTCGATTAGTCAAACGCGGATTTTCAGAATCCGCGCGTTTTAAATTTGTCCACAGCCTTTTTTTTCCTTTATTTTTTTCCACATAATTTTTGTTTATTTTATTTAAATAAATGATTCGTGTTGTGTTGGTATGGTTCTGTAATTTTCTTGCCAAATCCCATGTGATGGATTTGATATGTTTTGGCAAACTTGAATCTTATCTATCGCTCCCTGTTGATTGGGATGGAAGTTGACATTGGAGGAGAGGACGTTATTGAGAAAAAAAAAATTATGCTGGAGACGCATTATTTGATCTTCGTTTTCATCCTCCTTTCTTTTTTAAAAAAAAAACAAAACTGGGCATATTTCAATGGTTTTTCATGTATAAAAATTTGTTGAAAAGTTAAACACATCAAATGCTAAACATGCATATGTTATACCTGTAAAGTGACTAATGAAATGCATTTGCATGAGTCATCTCCAAAATTTGCACAGCTGTACATATATGATACCGAAAACGAAATTTTAAATAGAATGAATGTTGTGAGGTTTGTATGTAAAATTTAATATGATGAAAAACACATGTATCCAAATATTATTCATTATGCTTATAATAATTTTATTTTTCAGGCAAAGAGATGGTGATAACAACTTGAATTGAAACAAATGTTAGACGAAAACAACGAGTTGGTTAAGTCATTTTGCATGGCTCGCAATAGGATGCAGAACCACGATCAGCCTAATGTCAGAATACGTCTAATAGGAAAAAAATACAATGATGCGAGATGCTATAATCTACCCGCAAGCTCTGAAGTTGCTGCTTTGATTGTCGGAGATTTCGACCAATGTTTGGGCGACAGATATATTGGTTGAGACTAAGAGTGGTCGTCTTCAACGGATAAATGAACTTAATGCTTCATATCTGACATTACATTATCCATTATTATTGCCTTACGGAGAAGATATATTGGTTGGGAATTTATACTTACTTTATGAATGTCCTACGTATTATAACTTATTGATTAATGACCTTCATTTTATTAAATTTTTTTAAAATATGTACAGCTCGTGCATCGCACGGATTACATAATAATTACTAGTAAAATATTAACTTAAAACTAAATAAAATGAAAAATATCACAATGGCACGTGACAAGGGCTCCCGGCCAGCCAATGGCTATCCTACCTATCAATAAAACAGTTGCCCCACTCTTCCATGGAAGACAACAAAATATCCGCCAATCCCTGTGAACCTTAGGTTCAATCGCCGGACCTAATTTCCATTTTGCCCCCCTTCGTTATCCCCCTCTTTTGGTGCTAATTTTTTTTATGCGAAACAAACCCCTTCTCGTCTCTCCTCTTTTCTTAAATCTCTCTGCTCCGGTCAACGACTCGTTGTCGCAGGTGGGTTTCATGGAGCTCATCTTTCTTTCCATAGAGTAATTATTGGCAAGTTACAATTGTATATCCTAGTAATTATTGCACCAATCAGGGTAGTGAACCGTGAGGAGGGGTCCTCGGGAGTCGGAATTTGCAAATATATTTGCCTGAACTTCTTGATTTTTCAATTATCTGAAAATCCCTCAAATATCTTTACTCTTTTGGTCGCCCCGACCCGGGTCTAGCTGATTGGAGCTCTTGGGTTCCTCTTATTTAAAGTAAAGGGGATAATTCTGTATTTTGGGTTCACTTGAGCTCTATGGGTAGTGGGTTGGTGCAAAGGGGTCTGGATTTTACCAAAAGAAAGAGGAGATGGATAGTTTTGCTGGGATTGGTCGGATTTTCCACATACGGTGTGTACAAAGTGTATCACTCCCCTTCTGTGGCCAGAAAGAGAAGGAGATTGTTGAAGCTGTTTGGATCCCTTGTCTTGATTGTCGAAATGGTTTCTGATTCCTCCGAGACAATTTCGATCGTGTCAAGGGATCTGAAGGGGTTTGTCGAGTCGGATTCAGATGAAATCCCCAATAGTTTGAGGCAACTTTCGAAAATCGCCAGGTCTGAGGAGTTCTCTGAATCGGTGGCTCGTGTTTGCCAATCTATGACGGTCGGCATTTTAAGGGGTTACAAGGAGACTAACCGGGCCGAGATCCAAGACCTCAAGGGCCCGGGTTTGTTGGATAGGGTTATGGATAAATTGATGTCAAGTGCAGGTACAGGTTTTGCCTCAGTCGTAGTTGGTAGTTTTGCAAGAAATTTGGTTTTGGGATTTTATGCAAGTCATGGCAGGTCGGATGAGTCTCACGAGATGTCGAGGTCCTCAGCGTTGCCCACATGGGCGAATGTGGTTTCGGATGATAAGTGCAGAATATTGGTGGCCGATTGCATAAAGACCTTTGTTAGCACAGCAGTTGCAGTCTATCTCGACAAGACAATGGACGTCAACTTTTATGACGAGATGTTTTCGGGCCTCACCAATCCCAAACATCAGAATAAAGTGACCGACGTTTTGGTCTCGCTGTGTAATGGGGCTGTCGAGACTCTCGTGAAGACTTCGCACCATGTGCTGACCTCATCGAAATCGATTGATGAGCGCGAGATATCGAAATTGAGGAACGGGAAAGATGCTGAGGTGGAGGCCCGTGGTTGGGTCAGTAGTGTCTCGTCAACGCTGGCTGTGCCGAGAAATCGGAAGTTTGTGCTTGACGTGACTGGAAAAGTTACGTTCGAGACAGTTAGGTCGGTTGTGGAGTTTTTCCTATGGAAAATGTCTGAAGGTTTGAAGAGGAGTGTGAATGTTGTTCATAAGGAAGTTGTCGAGAGGGGATATGAGGTTGTGAAATATGTTGGGTACAAATCGTCGGTTATTCTTACTGTGTGCCTGGCGTTGTTTTTGCATGTCATAGGAAATACTCGTGAATTGTTGCCTGCATGATGTGATTGATGTTTAAGGAGAAATGCCATAATAGATTTTTGTGTTTGCATTTTTTTCTTTGAAAGAAAGCAATTTTATTGTATTAAAAATGCAGTTTACGTGCATGATTTGAGGTTGAAGCTCAAATATATTTAGTGTGACGTGAAGTTTCTGTTTGAATTCTTGGCCCCTTTTGGGAGTAGCTGCTGATCAGACTATTTGGGTGCAGAGAGAAGGAAAATGCAGTTGGATTCTTTGATGTCTTTGATGCTCAAAAGTTGTAAATTCAGTAACAGAAGTAACAGTCATTGTCAAAAGTATCTTGTTCTGTTGTACACTTTACATTTATATGCATTTGAATATTGGACCGTTCGAAGTGTAATGCCAACAGGATATGATGCGTACAGAATAGATTCATACTGTTCTGGATCAATTTTCTTATCTATTTTGAATATAGGTGTTCCTTCTTCTACATGTGACCAAGTAACATGAGCTTCATGCGGGAGAATAGTAGATGTAGATCTGGATATGAGAAGTTTAGAGTCTTTCTATGCTTTTGTGGGGGGATAGTCGATTACTATTTAGAATTAATGTAGTTCGAAAGATTTCACTTTAGTACATAATGATAGGGAGAGTGTTTTGGAGTTGTCTGATAAATTAGAAATGTTTAGACAGTTATTACTGGCAACCATGAAGTTTATGTTTCTTTTCTGCTATGCTTGTGATCCGTTTGAGGCATCGCATTAGGGCTGACATTCAGTAATATGTGTGCTATGCTCATCGTAAATTTGCTCCTTGTTGATCATTATTCAGTGCTGGTGTTTATTTCCTTTTTATTTTTCCTTTCTCCCCGATTTTTTTTTTTTTTTTTTTTTTTTTTTTTTAAATGTAAATGCTATTACTGGTTTTGAGCAGTCCTTCCATGCAGAAGAACAAGGAAGGGTAGGTTATTGGGAGATTATTTTGATTTTATTACTTTGGTGAGGATGCTAGCTGGTTGAGTTGCAGATAATGATCAAGGGATTTGTCTCTCATTCATTGACACATCCACCTTTCTTAATTATATTTTATTTTTGTCTTAGGATTCCAAGTAATTGCCACATCCACCTTCCACCTTATATATAATTTCAGAATGCGCTGAGCTTAATTGACAGCTTCACACGCTTCGTAATTTTATGTGGCAAAATATTATACTTTGTAATATGACTCGGATGAAAATTATTAATTTTTTATACCAAATAGTTTAGGTTTGGATTGCCATATATATACACATACATTTAATATATTTAAATTATTCCATATAAATCTATTTATTATTTTCTTTCTATAATGTGCACATATATAATCTTACTTTCCAAATTTTGTTCTTTGTCTATATTATTCTCTTATGTGTTTTAAATAAAAGTATTATAAATAAAATTAATAATGTATATAAATTGGGTTTTAGAGTTTGAAATAATATTGTTAATTCTTTTAGTTCTTTATCATAAATTGTTATATATTGTTTCTTATTTATTTTTTTCAACTTCAATAAAATATATAAATATTATTTTATTTATTGTTGTACATTTAATAATTTTATCAACTACACGTGTAGTACACCGATATTGTACTAGTAACTAATAATCTCGAATGCCAAGCCAAGTATGCATTTCCAGGTTCCAAATAAACGATTTCTGAACAGTTAATAGCTGTGCCTTTTTACCCTATCAGAAACTGAGACGGTCTATAAGTTGGAATGGGATGTCATACTCTTTGGGCCAAAGGTGATATCGTTGGGGATGGGATGCCATACTCTTTGAGAACGTAATACTTCTATTGTGAAATATTATAATGTATTTTAAAATATTATATTTTTATTTGTTATTAATAAAATATATGATCTTTAAGCGGTTAGGTCCATCAAATAGGAGCCTTACCAATTTCACAAATAAAAATGATGATGTTTTTTCTTTGAAAAATTCTTATATTGTGTGTTTAATGTGCTTTCTTATCATTTGATTTAAACCATACTATTTGATCCTTTGCAAGTAAAATTGATACCAAAGAAAACTTTGATGAAAGAGATAAATATGTGTTTATTTATTGGAATAAGTTTGAACTAATAATATATCTTCTTCATCGTTCTCTAAACACGAAGTTCTAAGAAATTCAGATATTTTCATTAAAAACATAACAATACTCAATTTGTGCTTTCTCTCTCCCCAAAAAGACGAAAAAGTTTCTCTGTCCCCAAAGAAAAAAAAAATAGATCTGAGCGTTGCCTCCTATCTTCCTCCTCCGCGGGTCGAGCAGCGTTGGGATGGAGCTCGTCAGCGCGACCATGGAGGCAGGCTTTCTCTCGGTTTCAGATCTCCCTTTCATGGTGAGTTCATCGAGCCGGTCAGGCTGCCGGTCTTGGAGTGCTGTCGACACCTCCGGCGAAGGTCACAGCCGTCGTGGTGGCAGGTTCTAGCGCCAGCAATGGCATCTCTCCTGGGGTCGTCCAATTTTTGTGGTTGTTGTCGGGTTGGTGTTGGGGGAGCTGCAAATTGTTGGATTCCAGGGTTGTTGTACGGTGGTGATTCATGTGGAAGGACGGTCGGTCCTTTTTGCTTTGGGTCTAGTTAGCCATAGCCTTTTGAGTTTAGGAGTTTGGAGTTTCTAGATCTAGGGTTGGGGATTGATTTTGTTTTTCTTGGGGTTATCGTCGGTTGTCGATTCGCTGAGGAGGTTAGGATTTGTGGTTGGTAGTGAGGAGGGCTTTATTCTAGTTTGTATATTAGGTGTGTGGTTTTTTTATTTTTGTCTTCTTTTGTTTTTGTTTGTTTAGTTAAGTCCAGGGTGTGTAGTATTTAGTTTTCCTTGTGGAATTTTATCTCCTTTTTGGAGCTGTGTTTTAGTGTTATTTTTCGTCTCAATGTTAGAGGTTATACCCTTAGACACTTGTGTTGTTTCAAGGGTTAGGTGCTGATTTCTTGATTCCTTAGTGTCAATTGGTACTCTTCTTTATACTCTTTTGAGTTTTGTAGTTTTATAATATTATTGTCGTTTTTTTAAAAAAAAAAAAAGACCATAATTATAAAATGGACGTATAGAAAATTTAATCGGTGTTGTTATTCCTAAAGTAAAGTAAACACATTACCCTTTTTCTGAGTGCAAAAAACATCATCATTTTTTATTGTCTTCTAAAGTGCTTTGTGTCATTATCAGTATCACTGACCACAATTTACTTTATTAGATTTTCATTTTATTATTTTATGATCTTAGTGCACAAGTAAATTATCTCATGTGAGATGTCCCGAATAATATAGACTTATTTGAACTAAGAATATACTCATTTTCTTTTAATCTCTCTTTTCTTTTCTTTTCTTTCTTTTTCTTTATTGACACGAGTGGATGTAAATCTTGAATTTTTTACACAATAATATGCAATTAATTAGGTAAATTACTTGACAAATCTAATGTGTCAAAGACAAATATTTCGAAAACATATATTTCTAGAAAGTGCGGGACACAAATCTGTCCAAGATCTAAACTCATGTGATCTCATAAAAAACACAAATTCCAAATCTGTCCAAGATCTAAACTCATGTGATCTCATAAAAAACACAAATTACTATATGAGGCCATATAACAGCTAGGCAGGTCAATTCGTCATACTTACAAAAATGATATTAAAATTATATTAATACTATAAATTATTGTACTTTTATTTGTATTATTTTTCAAAATATGATATTTCAATTTAAAAGTGTATATATTTGTAAAAATTATGATTGTTAACTGTTTACATAAAAGCTCATAAAAATAAATAGTATTATTTCCAAATTCTTCAACTGAAATTATTAAAAACGACTATGTTTTCATCCCATATTTATTTACTCAAAGTCTAGAATTCACAATCAGCAAACGTAACCTGGTTTATAAGGGCAAACAATAGTTAATAAAACCAGATCCAACACAAATGAACTTTAATTTCTAATAATATACACTCAATAGCCAATAACCAAAAAAAAAAAAAACATAGAAATTATTTTAATTTGCATATTCGAATTATGTTCAGATAACACCACAATTCAACTCGGCACTTGAAACAATAAATTACGATGGCTCAAGCTTTGGAGTTTGGACATTAACAATAATAATAATCAATCCTCAACAAAGGCTCTATTTCTTTTACCTTTGCCAAGTCTTCTTCGCCTTAGACCTCCATCATGACCATCATCACCTCCAAAATTTCCAGCGTCGAGAATCAAAGGCACGTCGTTTGCTTCTTCTCCAAAATCATCTTCGGCAGTCGAAATACGAATGCAAGAGCATCTCTCGAGGGACGCGAAGAATACGCCCGTTAAGCTGTTCACAAGCCACGTGGCAATGCAGTCGAGTTTTGTGGGCTGCCGGACTCTTGGGCCGGTGGAGAAAGTGGCTGCCATGATTTTGGTGTGGTGGAGTGTTGTGTAATGGTGGTAATTAATTTGAGTGTCTAATATGTAAGTGCAAGGTCTCGGTGGATAATGATTAAGGGGGTGATTTAATTAACGAAATCGGGATCAGAAGGTTTAATTTAATGATGATGGATTTGAAAAGCACCACGCGTGATGTCGTTAGCACGAAAGTACGGATTTGCCCTCCTTGGATCGTTTTATATTCAAACATCATATCATAATTTATATGCAAATGCTTTAATAGTATGTGATACTACTATTGACACGATTGATTAAATCCATGATATTTTTTTGTTTTGATTTATGATTAGGCCAAGAGGCTGAAAAACATAAGAGCATAAGGGAAGGGCCAACCACATGGTCCGTTAAATAACAAAGCAGTGTGAGCTGGTCTTTTCAAAATGTCGTGATCTATGTTCTGATTGAAGGATTTGAGATCATTTGATTTTGATATTTTTGAAATATAAATTTTCTACTTTCAAACTTTTTGAATGAATTTGTTGAAAATATTATAAATTCATTGTCTAGCTCGGTTTGATGGCGTTGACTTGCAGTGGTGAAAATCTACCTGAAGAGATTGATGTCCCCATTCTA